ATGGTCACCTCATGAAAAAGGAGCCACCAAAAATATGCCTTACATGCGGAATTACATCTACAATCAAACATATTATCACCGAATGCAGAGACACAAAAGAGGCAAGACAAAAATTCAACATACCGGAACACCTTCAAGACGCACTGCCGCACTGGGCCCTGACGAAAAATCCATCCAAAACATAATTTTATTTTTGAAAGATACTGAACTGTACAATTTAATTTAAGTCATCATTAGATGTAAAAAATAAGCCAATGGTCACGTTATCGAGGCTTTAAAATAAAAAAAAAAAAAAAAAAAAAAAAAATTCAAATATGTTAATCGAAATTCAAAGATTATTACATCTGAATAAAAGTAAGGCATTTAAATTTTGTAAAACGTTAGTGACTTCATCATTAACTATGTTATGCGGTATTAATTTAATTGAAAATTTGATTGATAATAATTTTCAAGAAAAAGCTCGTATATATGGGGTTATTAATCGATGTACATGTTGTTCATTTTATCATGATATCGTTTATACCGAAAATTCTGTAAAAGATTTAAAATGGCGTTATCCATTGCTAACTATACAACAATGTGAACAAATTATTAATAACTGTTTAATTAAAAAATATTTTTCCACTATATAAGATAATTTAGATTTTGAAGATAGTAGAAAAATATTTAATAATTTTAAACATTGTTAATATTTTTAGTGTCATAGAATATACCTTAAGATTTTACGATTATATAATAAGTTTTATAGAAATTGTTATAAATAAAATAGTTGTAATAAATGTATACACATTTCTTTAATAAAGTATTATTGTTTGTACACTTCGATAATATAATAAATATATTTTTCCACTTCAGTTTACGTTATATTATTTCATTTAAGTATATATTTTATATTATAATATTAACTCTATATATTTATATATTATATATCAAAACATATTATTATATGTATAATTAAAATATTAGAAAACTTATTCCATCATGTTAATATTAATATAATTTCCCTATATCGCTCATTATATTATTGTTAATGGTTAGGCCATTTAAATATCACACTATATTATATTTTATTTTAGAATACATAGATGATTATGATTTAATAGTTATACATTTACCTAATAGTGTAAGGTGAAAGAGAAAATTCATAATAATAATAATAATCAGAGGTCGTCAATGTTTCAGCAGCTATTAAAGGTTAATTAAAAGTGAAACACTCACTTTTCATAATAACATTTTCAAGAGTTTTAACCTGTGGTAAACATTATATCGATGAATAGTATAATATTCATTTATTACCTAATTAAATATATTTTTCTCTTAGGCATATATTATTATCTTAATTTTTCGTATATTATACAACTCTTGTAGATGAAAGGAGTAGCTTGAAGAACAGTATGATTCCTTTGAGTGAAATCAGGTCTCATATATTACTTAACTTCTACCACATCCACATAGCGATAAAACATATGATAAATATTTATTTACCATATGTTGGAATGGAAAGTGATGTCCTACACATAATAAACTGTATTTTCCTAATGATTTTTGGTTAAAAGGGAAAACGTACAAGTATATCAATATATTATCTTATATCAATAAGGTGTTACAGAAAATGTCAAGTACGGTCATCTGTCGAGACGACTGAGACTGGATAGGAATGGATGCGGGGGGGGGGGGGGGGAGATATGCGATAGGCATGGAGGGGCATTGCCGAGCATTGCCGAGCACTGACGGGCACGGCATGGAGGGGAATGGCAGTGCGCGGCATTGACTCGCATGGGCTAGGGGCTAGGTCCTAGAACCATCTAAATCATACTACTAATGTTAATTTAAATAATGTAAACACTACTTCAAACTTAACTACCGATTCGGAAAAAAAAACCTATGCCCAAGCAATCAATACTACCAATGTAAACAAAAACAATCAGTCTAACATCCCCTCCCCTGCTCACATAGATCTTTTCACCCAAAAATTATCGTCCTTTCTCGATGATTTCAAAGCCACAATAAATCCTCTTATCTCTCTCTTAACTGCAGTCATAAATAAACTTTTAAGTAATGATAAATAGATCTCAAAATATTAGTCACCCGCTAACAATATTACTTTGGAATGCTAACGGTCTAATCCACCAAATGAATGAATTAAAAGCCTTCCTCTCACAAACAGATATAGATATTTTACTGATTAACAAATCCCATCTAACAAATAATTCTTGTTGCAAAATTCTTGGTTACACAACATATCAATGCAATCATCCTGATGGTACTTCCCATGCAGGCTCAGCGATACTCTTAAAATCAAACATCAAACATACAATCCTCCCAACTTACCAAACAAATACCATTCAAGCGACAAACATAGTCCTAACCTTAAATAATATACCCACTACAATTTCTTCGGCTTACTTTCCACCTCAACAAAAAAATGAGCACACTTGACCTCCAACAATATTTCAATTCACTAGGACATACTTATATTGCTGGCGGCGATTTCAACTCCAAACATCCCTCATGGGCTCAAGACTATCAAACACCAGAGGTCGCAGCTTAAATAATCCTTGACTTTTTTATCACCACCCTCCCAAACCACATTGCATTTCAAATTTTTGATTCACTAGACCTCTCCTCAGACCATACGCCTGTGATCCTATTATTAAATGACACATCCTACATAACCAAATCTTTTCCTACCCTAACACCAGGTAAACCAAACTGGTCGAAATTTCGGAATATCCTAGAAAACCAAATTAACCTTAATACATCACTCAAAACCCCGTCTGATATCGAATCAACCGTTCTTACATTTACTTCTCTTATTCAAAAAGCAGCACTCGACTCATACATTAAAACCAGTGATATCCAAAACACTATTAAAATCATACCTCAACACATCTCCCAATTAATTAGTGAAAAACGACGTGCCCGCGCAAAATGGCAAAGAACCCACTTGCCTAGCGACAAAAAAATTTATAATAATCTTACTACTTCTCTTAAGAATACATTGCGTAAAATCATTTCAAATAAATTTCACAATTATTTAAATTTTATTAAAAACGCTGATAACTCATTATGGAAAGCAACAAAAAATATTCTCAGAGAAAAAACCAAAATTGCTCCCTTGCGTTACCCAGACAACTCACTAGCTATCTCTAATTTTGACAAGGTAAATTTATTTGCCACAGATCTTGAGAATAGATTCACGCCCCATGCAGATATCCAAAACAGAGATCACATGTTGCATGTAGAATCCCTACTCAACCAAACTCTTCCTATGTCTCTACCGACTAAACATACCTCCCCGTCTGAAATTCTACACATAATCAAAAAACTTCACGATAATAAAGTACCAGGTCACGACCTTTTAACCAATCGTATAATAAAAAACTTGCCTAAAAAATCCATAATATTCCTCACGTTCATCTTTAACTCGATCCTACGACTATCTTATATTCCTCCTTCATGGAAGCATTCAATCATTATACTAATCCACAAGCTAGGTAAACCTGAAAATCTTCCATCTTCTTATCGTCCAATTAGGCTACTACCATCATTTTCAAAAATACTTGAAAAAGTAATACTAAAAAGAATCTACCCAATCATTAATGTTCAAAATACGATCCCAAACACTAAATTTGGATTTAGAAATAAACACTCAGCCCTACACCAAGTCCATAGAATTATAGATAACATTGCTTCTTCGCTAGAAAGAAAATACTTCTGCTCGGCTGTGTTTCTAGATGTTGCCCAGGCATTCGATCGTGTGTGGCACAAAGGACTTCTATACAAAACCCGATTTCTTCCTGCTCCTCTCTACCTCATTATTGACTCATATCTCTCTAATCGTACCTTCCAAGTACGCTGTGAAGATGTCCTTTCTGAAACTCATACTGCAAAAGCAGGTGTACCCCAAGGTAGCATTCTTGCACCCACGCTCTATAATATTTACACTTCTGATATTCCCCACTCTAACCTTACTAGCCTAGCTACTTTTGCCGATGACACTGCATAACATCCTCCGATCCAGATATAGATAAGTCAACGGGGTACCTTCAATCCCATCTAATGAATTACAAAATTGGTTTCGCCTATGGAGAATTAAAATAAATGAAAACAAATCATCACATATCGCATTTACGCTTCGACCAAATAACAGCCCCTCGATTACTCTCAATAACGAAACTATTCCTAGAGAAAGTTCAGTAAAATACCTAGGAATTCACCTAGACCAAAGATTAACATAAGCCACTCACATCAAAACCAAAAGAAAATCAATGAAACTAAAACTACATAAACTTCGTCAACTTCTCCGTTCTAAAATGTTACTTAGTGACAAAATTCTTGTATACAAACAATTAATTCGTCCTGCATTGACATATGGTATTCAAATCTGGGGCTCAACCAAAAACTCAAACCTGAATCTCCTCCAATCCTTTCAGTTGATTAGCCTCCGTCTTCTGACAAATGTACCTTGGTATGTTAGTAATCATACAATCCATAAAGACCTGAACATTCCAACTCTTCACTCCCTCGCTTCAACACACTATAAAAAATTTCATTCTAAAACAAATAATCATCCAAACCCGCTAATCTCAAACCTCTCCTCTAAGACTATCCCGGACAACCCTCCCCGTCGACTAAAACAAAATTGGCCTCGTGATTTACTTCGCTAAATAAAAAAAAAAAAAAAACCAGTTTGAAGTAGTGTCAATGGACGCTCCCTTCACTCAAGCCTCCAAACCTTGTAAAAAAAAAAAAAAAAAATCAAATTTATTTTTTTTTTTTTTTTAAAATTTTATTAAAAATTGTAAAAATACTTATATTAAAAAAAAAAAAAAAAAAAAGATAAAATATAGAGTATTAACATCAAAATTAAAAATATAAACCAAAAAAATGTTACTATGGAAACTATTAAATTAATATAGTTTAGTTGTTTTATTACTGTACATCTATACAACAATAGTATTTTGAAAATTTTCTATTTCAAATTTAAAAATTTAAAAATGAAATTAGATGAAGTTAACGTAGCGGAACTCAGCCCTAGTAAACTATTAGAGTATTCAAAAAAATGTGTTATTTTGCTAAAACAAAAAGATAAAGAAATAACATTGTTACAAGTTGATCGAAATCAAGCAAATATAGCTTTAAAAGTTGCCCAAAAATCTGTAAATAAACTTCAATTAGACATGACTAAAATGGAAAAAAAAGCAATTGATGATGCTATCATAATACAAGGTCTTCAAAAACGATTACGTATGCAATGCGAGGAGTTCACATATCAAAACACCTACAACTTGGATGTCAAACGTTTGGAATGTGAACAAGCTATTAAAGCAATAGATTTAAAGTGGGAAAATCATAACAATGATTTATTTTTATTGAATCATTCGCTTCGAGATGATTTGAAAAAACAAAGTGTACAACACACAAACGAAAAATTAAGTATGGAAGTTCGAAGTACTAAACGTTTAAATGATAGGGTCAATGTGATAAAATGTAGTGCAGCCCGTTATTTATCAGAGATAGACGAAGAACAAAAATATGCAATTCGCTTTGTCCAAAAGAAACATATATTAGAGTTACGATCAGTTAGATCCTTAAATAATGATAACATGCGGATAGTAATGGATAAGTACAATAAAGAAATCGATGAATTAAAAGACGGATTTAAAGAAAAGTTAGATCAATTTTTAGAGTTGTCTGAATCATTACAACGCAAACTAGAATCCATTGCCGAGGATAATCAGTTTTTACAAAATCGTAAGTCTATTATTGAAAAAAAAACAAAAATGCTTGATGACTCTTCTCAATTACTTTTAAAAAGAAATGAATACTTAGAAAAGGAAAACAAAAGTTATAATAATTGTAAAAGACAATTAAAAAGCTTTAATAAGGAATTGCAAAGTATTAAAGTACGTTTAAAACAGGTATGTTACGAAAAAGATTTATTAGAAGAAGAAAATCGCAAGATGAAATTAGGCCTTGAAAAATACGACGAATTCCATGATAAAACAATAAGGGACATGAAAAGAAGATTTTTGGAGATAATGTTAGTGTCAAAGCATGAGACGAAATGATATAACAAGCTGAACCACGAGTAGCGTGTAAATTTTTTTAAAATAGATAAAACTTATTATACCTATTTCTTTATTTTAAACTTAAGATATAATGATTTTATTGACAAATATAATAGATATTGATGACATAGTTGTTCGTTCGTCCTGTAGTAAACCCAAGGTAACACATAATTCATTTATTACCCATTGTCTTATTTTATTTACCAATCAACGGATGATACTCGCATATTAACTGTACTGAGTAATTCTTAAAACAATTTCCTTAATCAAGTGCAGGTAGCCCAAATATGACATTGAATGTTCACATAAATACGGGTGTTTTATATATTTAAGATCAGTCTTAAGTTACTATTCTAAGTATTCACTACGGACACACGGACTCCTACGGAGTGTTTATTGTCGTTGTGTCCATAATTTAATTAAATAACAATTCTAACTTTTATTGTGTTATATTATTTATAACCACCTTTCCTTATTTTACCCACGTCGAAAACTACGTAGATGCATCGTCGTAAAAGAAACATTGTTCGCAGCAGTGACAGGGCTGTGCACTACAAATTTGGTGTCAGGTTAGCCTAGGCAGTGTCATAAAATCTATCCCAATTTTCGAGGGGGGTAGTGAATCCGAGTTAAAAGCATTTGAGCAAAAATGCAAATTTTTATTAGAAAACGTAACAGACACTTATAAACCTAAAGAATTAAAGATAATTTTGTCAGAATTAAAGGGCGAGCTTTTGACGTCGTCAGATATAGGGAAATAACTTTATGGGAGGAACTTAAAAAACATTTTCAAACTATTTTCGGGGCCTCTCATTCAACCACATTTTTACAAAACCAATTAAACTCCATAAGACAAAATAAAAACAAGTCTATTATTAGTTTTTCCGGGAGAATCGAAAAAGCTTACAATGAGCGTACACACGTTTCAACCTTAAATAAATCACCGGAAGAGGCCGCCATTATTGCTAAAATGATACAAGGGCACGCATTAAAAGTATTTATCTTGGGAGTATCATATTCCATTCGAATTATTCTAAAAGCGAGACAAGTAACTCGTCTAGAGGAGGCAGTTTTTATAGCAATTGAAGAGAAAAATTCGTTTTATATCGAACCACCGTTTTCAATGAATAATCATGGGGATACCAAAAAGAAAAACATTAAATGCAATCGTTGTGGGAAAATGGGGTACTACGCGAATGAATGCCGTACAAGCGCACATAAAATACCGAATTACCGTAACCCAACATATGATCGTGATCCTAAAACTAAGGTTAAACAGGAATATACCGGAAACATTAAGGTATGCAAATATTGTAAAAAACCTAGCCACGACATAAGTGAATGTAGGAAACGAATTTACAATAAACAAAAAAGGAACATCAAAGATACATCTGTATCTAAATTTTAATGAAAATATAGGTGCTATAGACAAAACAGATATGTTGTTGAGCTCAATTGAATGTGTGAGAAAAACCATAAAATGGTATAAGAAACTGTTTTTCCACCTGGTAGATCTATCCTTACTAAATGCATATAGTTCATACAAGACTGTTACTGGAAAACATTTACCATAAGCAAGCTATCAGTTTCAACTAATCCGGGAAATACTAACAAAATATTCAAAGAAAAGTGCTTTGAACAAAACAGGTCGTCCGCGCAGCAGTGATACTGTGATACCTATGCGATTGACAGATAGACATTTTCCATCCACTGTACCACCAACATCTAAGAAGACAAATCCTCAAAGACAGTGTTATGTATGCCATAAATTAAAAAAGAAAAGAAAAGACACAATATTCATGTGTAAAGAATGCAATATTAGGTTATATCCAGCTCCTTGCTTTGAAATATATCATACTAATAATAAGATTTGAATTTTTTACTATATAATTTATTTTAAATACACATTATTTTGTTACTATTATACTGAATTAACTGATTACTATCTAATTATTAATAAACAGTTAAAAATATAATTTGTAGGTACGTTGCATTTTAATTATTTCAATATCATAGTATGCAGTTCCTACGCTAGGTTTCCTAGTTTGGTTACCCCTGATGCGAACCTGAAGGTGGAATGGGACGTCGGAAGGGTGAAGGTAACAAAATAAATTAAACACAAGATGTAAAGTTTAATAAAAAACGGTATTCGCCAGTTAATTGCGTTTAAAACTATGAACAACAGCTGGATCACAGGTACAGATCCGGTGAAAAGGTCACAATTGTCAAATCAAAAGTTCACAGTACGCGAGTCGAAAACAGAGGTTGTTAGACCGCGTACGGTGTATGGTGAAAAACTGACTCCGGTCGTCGGACCGGTTCGCGGTATCGGCGGTCAAGACGTTCCGACGCCGTTGTCGTGCGTCGGCGTCGTCCGTCGTCGCTGGCGGTTGGATAGAGAAGTCGTTCCGCGGTTTTCCGCGTAAAGGCCGTTTGAATTCAAACGGAATATTACGCGGGACCACGTCATACTCCCCCAACCCCAAACCAGCAGTGATGGCGGTGTTCCTTCCGTACCGGTGTTGTTGAGGTTGTGGTGTTAGTTGTTATTTTTTTTTTTCCTTTTTTTGTTGGGTGTTGTGTGGTGTCGCGTATTCCGGCTGGTTACAGCGGACGCGACGGATTTTAATGTTGGGGGGGGGGATGCTGGGAGACTGTAGAAGTCCCTATTATCGAATACTGTCTCCTCCATGTCCACATCATCAAGGGCCCCTCCGTCCGAGTCCAACAGTTCCGCCTCCTTTTCCGGTGATATTTCCATATCCACCGGTGTCGAGGGGGGTGCTATTGATTGCTCCGAGGTTTCGGCTGTCCTGGTAGGTCTTGTTACCTCCGGCGCCGTAGCCTCGGTCACGGGCGGATTTGCCGCCTGGGTCTGTGGACCGGGTGTTGGAGCTGTACCGGTTGGTACCGGTACTTCCAACCGATATTGTTGGGAGCATGGCTGAGGGGTGGCTAGTATGGTCAAGTCTGCTCTTCTCTTCTGCCGATGTTCCTTCAGCCGCTGCAAGTTCCGGCGCTGCCTCGCATTCAGCTGCCCCGTCCTCGGTGTTTGGGGTGTCGCTGGTCTCGTCGCTGCTGGTGCCGTCGCCACTGCTACTGTCGCCGCCGGTCTCGTTGCCAGAGACGAAGTTGACCTAGGACGAGTGACCGGGTGGTCACGAAATTGCGTGGACGGCGGAAGAGCGGTCTCCGTGGCGACGTGCCGGGGCGTTTAGGGCTCCGGGACTATCGGTTTCCGCGGGTATGGGCCTCGCTCGTCGCCCTTTGAGAGACTTCGTGCGGTCGCCCGCAGGTATGAGCAGCCGCTGCGCCGTCGACATCTGGCGCACTCGCGCCGCCGTTGTCGCGCGAGGGGGGGATGTTTCCGCGCTGGCCGCGTGGATTAACTGCTGGCTTTGTTCCAGCAGTTCCGCCGCTTGTTGTAGGGGGGTGGTAGCCGAAGTCCGCTGTTCCATCTTGCTGCTTGTTGTTGTTGATTGCGACTGTGTGTAGGCGGTAATAAGTTATAAAAACAATTTATTTCGCTATTCTAAGTTGATGGTGGTGTCGGGGGGTGGGTGCGCTGCAGGTATCGCGCGTGTGAGGCACGACACATGGATTTTGCGTGGCGGTTGTTGGTCTGTGCCAAATACACCCTTACCTACGCGTTTTTGTAGCTTTACCGGTCCCCACCATTTCGGTGCGAATCCGACGTGGAATTTTTTATGCGCTTTTGACAGGTGGTGTGCTTTATAGTACACCAAATAATAATCAACCGCAATTAGATTCTACTTCCTCACTAACTGCCCAACTTACATAATTTATAAATGACCTAAAAACATTAATCACCCCTCTCATAACACTTCTTACAAAAGTAATTGACATAGTCTTAGAAAAAAAAATGACTTCAAACTCAATAAATCATGCCTCTTCCTTATCAATTTTCCTATGGAACGCCAATGGATTAAAAAAACATTCCAATGAACTTTTTTACCTTCTGCACCATAAAAACATCGATATTGCCCTTATAACTGAGACTCACCTATCCACTACTTCCAATATTAGCTTCAATGGTTACTTAATTATTAGAGCTGATCACCCTGATAGAACTTCCCATGGTGGGGCTGCAATTATTATAAAATCCTCACTCTTTTATAACGAAATGCCTAGCACAAATAAATCATACCTACAAGCTGCTAATATCAAAATTAAAATAAATAATTTCAACATCACAATATCTTCAGCCTACTTCCCTCCAAACCTACCCATTTCCGAACCTAAAATTCATTCTTTTTTCCATAGCCTAGGCAACCTTCTTATAATAGGTGGTGATTTTAATGCCAAACATTTTCAATGGGGCAATAGATATACTAATACAAGAGGCAGGCTATTCCATACATCAATTCTAAAACATAAATTATCATTCATCTCCCCTGATGAACCAACTTACTGGCCATCACATGCAAATAGATCTCTCGACATTCTCGACTTTTTTATTACACGGTTACCAAATAGTTTAAACAAATTTATAACAAGCCTTAACTACCTATCAAGCGATCATTCTCCTGTTTTATTAACTTTAGACGCCAAAATTGCCTCTAACACTACTAACCCGTTTCTCTCATCCGGCCCTGTAGACTGAAAACTTTTTCAAGCTAAATTAGACGAATCCTTGTCCCTAAATACTCCTCTAAAATTCCCTCTCGATATTGACCAAGCAATCTCTAAATTAACAAAAACTATCCAAAATGCAGTTTCTCATTCTTCCTTGACCACCCCACAAAAAAACCAATCTAAATCCCACATCACGCACCCCTCATACTTAGTCAACCTTATTAAAGCCAAACGTCGTGCTCGATTCTTGTGGCAACGATCGAAATACCCAGAACACAAAACTGCCTACAATCATCTATCAAACGATCTTAAATCTCAATTAGCGAAATATAGATCTGAACAATTTAGTCAATACATAAGTACTCTGTCTCCTAATAACGGCTCCCTCTGGAAAATAACAAAAA